TCTAAATTTCCATACAGTTACTTATACATATGAATATGAAGAAAACTAAATTATTATTTTAAAGTAAAATTTATTTTGTATATTATGCTCTATAAAGCAAGTAATACACATTTAATTTAAAAGTGGAATCATTTTTAGAAAACAAATTTAGAAATATCTTTACGGATAAAATTTACATGTAATGTGAACTAACGTTACATATTTGGTTTTTTAATTTTTAGTATTAAGAATGAATTCAAAAAGAAAACTTCATTCAATTTTTCCTGCTGCGCAGCCTTTGAGAATACAATTAAGAATTTTAATTTTTTTACAAATATTGCAAACATTTAAGTCTGATTTACTGAAGAGAACAAACAAATATAATGGAAGTATCAGGCAATCAACTTCTGAAAATCCTTTTATTGAAAATCCTGAAAATATTCTTGCTCATTATGTAATTAAGGAACAGGAGCAATTATTGGAAACACAAGGCGAGAAACCAAGCGATTTGTGGATCGAACATCAAAAGCGGCGTTTTTTACAGAGTCCCTCTAATAATTTTACAAAATTTGATTTTCAAAACTTTTCTTACAAAAACAATTCTCAAAATTTTTCTAAAAATTACAAACAAAACAATAATGAGCAAAAATTCATTAACACAAATGGAAGCGTCAAAAATTATGCTTTTAGCATTTCTAATGGTGTCAAAAATTTGCAGAAAAATGATTTTAGTAAAATTAAAAGTGGGGGAGAAGTTGATACAAATATAAAATTAAAGGATTCAAAAACAAATGAAAACTTAAAAAATACTGTAAAAGTAAATGGTAAAATTATGTTAGATCCTAACGATGATTACACAATTATTGAATACAAATCACTTAAAAATAAAATGGAAAAATTAAGAACCAATAATGAAAAAGGGAGTTTTAATATAACCACACCATCATTTAAAGGATTTTTGAACTTTTTGAAGTTCATACAAACCGAATTGATATCCAGAGCGAAAAATGGAATAGAAGATAAAATTTTAAGACTGAAAAATTTGCGAAACACAATATTACTAAATGTTGGTAAGTAGAATTCACTTACGTATACATACATACATATCTGTATCACATTACGAGTGTACATTATGTACATATATCTGTTGATAAAAGTTGATGACGTTTTGTTCTGGAAGAAATTTAATTTTTTAAAAACGGTCGGCAGTCAACAAAAATTCAAAAACTATTTGTACATTTTTATAAATATCTCTATAAAGCTACAAATACAGATGCTAACATAAAATTGAAAGTAAATATTGGAGCAATATTGCATGAAAATTTTACCATACCAGTGACATCACCAAAAATTACGCAATATTGCACAAAACAAAAATGCATGCCAATAAGTATATTGAACAATTTTTGGTTTACTCAAAATTTAAAAGTTTTAAAATACATATGTACATACATATATATGTATATTTTATACATATGTACATCTTTATAAAATAGTGCAAAGTAACGATATAATACACGTTTAGAGAATTAATGCATTTATAGTGAAATTGAAAAGACTGAAAATTATTTAAAACAAATTTAATTGATAATGCGATTATCAATTATTGCATTAATAAATATTTTAATTTTTATATAGAAAACCGAATAGAAAAATTATGGTCTGAGAAACCATTACAACGTGTTAAAAGGTCTTTGATTGACGATACAAATCACGAGATTTTTCCTACTGCAGAAACGGCTCTGATGACAATTAGTTTTTTAACATTTGCTGTGTTTTTAATTAAATTAGTTTTGGTAAGTTTAAAAAAAGTACATATTATATATATGTACATATTTTTGCTAAATTACATAAAAACAATTAAAGATAACCCCTGATTTTTTAATCAAAAATTTGTTAATAAAGTAAATAAGCAATTTGAAAACCGGCGTACATATTCAACAATATAGAATACATATGTGTGGATACATATATTTTTAAAGTTCGTTAATGAAAAGGATCCTAAATTTAATTTATTTTTGATCTCCTTTGAAAACTTTTTAAATTGACATTAAAATGTATGAAGACACATTTTTTAGTTAAGACCTCTTGTTAGTTTTCTATTTTTAACCTTGATTTTAATAATGGATTACACCCTTTTTTTCTGTTGTTTTAAATCGAAATTTATTTATTTATTTTATTTATTCAAAAAATATTCTCAAATTGAGCACTAGATCGTATAGAGTGTATAAAATTCCTACATATTATGAATAACAATAATTAGAAATAAATTATACACTATAACAAATTATATACATATGTACATAATTTTGTTCATATATGTATATACATATGTATATAGCAAATTTAATTTGAGTTAGAAATACAAAGGTCAGTTAGTATGGCGAAACATAGTAATGCGAAATAATATGTATGTATAATGTAGACAAGACATTGAAGCAAACAATATATGTATATAGATAGTTACAACATCGAAAAAGATATTTTAAATTAAAGATAAAAGAAAAAAAGAAAAAACATGATTGATATTGATGTAGCATTTTCCCCGGTTTTTTTTATGAATCTATTTAAATCCCCGATACTAATATTCGATATCTCGTTCAGTAACTCTCACACATAATCTGCCCCACATGATCAGTCTGGCCTCGCCCAGACACGCGGATAGATACTAAAAAATGATTTTCTTTTTTTCCACAGCCTATAGCCACATGCTCTCCAACGGCCAGTGTCCTGTGTAGAGTGCCGTTAGGCAGGCTATATCCACCCAAAAGAACACGCGGTCGAACTCAAAAATCGGTGATAGTGATATATGTATGTAGGTCTGGATTACTGACATTGCTGATATCTCCACTTTTGTAGATTGGTATTACTTTACTTCGATTAAGCTGATGAGGAAATGTTGATGTTTCAAAAGATGAATTTATTAGAGAAGTTATACACGGAACTAGTTCCTTTATATATTCTTTGAAAATATGCATGTAAGCTTTACAATGTAGTTTTTAGTTTCAAAGCGTTTTACTGGCTTGAAACTAAAATTATTAGGTGAAGTTTTAATAGTTATATGAGAAATCATAATTCGGAAAATATTATTAATTGTGTGTACATTGTAATTTGTGTACACATAATCTAAATGTTACTCTTTTTAGTGCTTCATCTTTGTGTCCTTTAAGCTTCTACGTCATATACATATGCATACACATATGTACATATATATATAAATTTATTGAATAAAAACAATAATAAACGTAGATAAAATTATGGGGTGTACGCATAGTGCCACTTTCCTAAGTCTGTTCCTTTTTACAAAAACTGTGAGTTTATTAAGTTAATTTAATTCTTTATGTGCCATCTTTTCCCACATGTTTAAGAAATCCCAATTTTTTTCCCTTTTCCAACTTGTGGAAAATTTTTATACATACATACATACGTATGTATTTTTATTCTTATTTTCCAAACCCGTCCTTTGATAATGTATTAGGGAAAATTATCCCCAAATGCCAAATGTACTTCAAACTGTAATGCACAAAACTTTATTTAATTCTTTAAAAATAAATATGTAGCTATATAAGTACTACCAAAAGTTACACGTTATCGTTAAATGCAAACAGCTAATCAATGCTAACGCAAAAAAAAACTGATTGAGCTTTGATAATATGTATTATCTTTGTCATTAACGAAGTTGTCGATATATTATATGTATGAAAATATGTACATACATAGGTATTGTATTACATTAATAATTATAAAAATTGTTAAGAGATAACTATACAATTTTACAATTACGTTGCCATTTCAGCAAGTAATCAACACCTTTAAAAGCAAACATTATAGTTTTAATGGATTCACTCTAAGCAACGTTGAAGCAATAAAGACTCTGAATTTGGAAAAAAACGCAAAGTATTTGGAAGATGACGAGAAAGAAAATATTGAACATATGACTAAAATTATATCTGCCACTGAGAAATACGCAAATTAAAAAAAAAAAATAAATTATTTATAAAAAAAGACCTAATAAATTTATTATTTTAAAATTTATTTTAAGTTTTTAAAAAAAGAAGTTTATATACAGGGTGTTTCGCATAAAGTGCAAATAATTTCAAGGATGATTCTTTGATCGATTCCCAGAAAAAATTGTGTGGGTGGGAGGGTGCAAATATTGATCGATTTCGAGCTACAAAGTATTGAAAAAGAAAGGTGCCGGACTTTTCCTGCATATAAATAAATGCTCAAATTTTCGGAACAATTATAAAATGTATTAAATTTAGATTTTCCGCGTTTTTTGAACACATTTAGCACGTTTTATTGGCAAAACTATGAAAGATAGAGGAAAATGTTATATGAGTTAGATTTTAGCTCTCATTGTAGAGCATCGAAAAATTATAAACATATACCATTTTGCTCTATAATTTTCAATAATATCCCATAACCGCAACTGAGGCAACTAACAAAATATGGGTGTACATTAGTTTTGATGAGCAATGACAGAAAATTCCCAATTCTAGAAGTCCCAAATTAATGGAAAATTTTATAGGAAATTTTTTTTTAATGGATTTTTTTTTAATGGAATATTTTTTTTATTTTTGATTATTTTTTGATTAAATTACAAACTTAAGATTTTATCAAATACTGGTTATTGCCTTTATACATTTCTACAACACACTCTGTGTCTTCCAGCCATAATTTATATTTTGAATTTATTTGAAATTTTTTATTTGAATTGCATATTTTGCACTTAACCACAAGGAAGTTTCTACATTTTTCATCAATTTTAACTTCACATGTCAATCCACTTTTTAAACATAAACCACATTTTTTGCAGATAATTCGCTTAATATCTGGTTCTCTAAAAGAAAAAGTGACTATTATTTATTGCAATAAAATATAAAGTTCTTTATTGTTTTAGCTTCAAAAGCAAATTAATTCTGTGTGTAAAGTCGCACAACCGACAGGCCTATAACACATTGATCTAGCTTTACATTAAAAAGTTTATTTAAATTTAATATTACTACCTTTTTACTTACATCCTTAATACAGACTTTTTTCCAACATTTTTTAAAAGCAAGCCATAGTAAGCTGATAAAGTATCATTCTTACCCGCCATCAACATTGATGCTTGATATAAAAAATTCATACGTTCAAATACATCTCGACTTTGAAGTCCTTTTTTATTTTTCATTATTTTATATTGGGAGCAGTATTTGTACTTTTTTTTCGTAAATAATAATTAAAAAGCAAGCACAAGTGACGAGTAAGTTCTCCTAGTTCCACCACTTTCTCTAACCAAATTAAAATGTATTTTTAAAGTACAAAATATTTCCATGTAAAAATCTTTTTCCCGTCAAAATGATGAAAATAATGAAATTCAAATTTATAATTGATTTTTGTTATATACTAACATACTTATAGCAAAATTAAAATGACAAGTTAATATATAATATTTGTCAGCTAATGTCAAATTCAAAGATTAGCCTAAATATCGTAATTTCTTTAAAATAAAGTCTTCATTCTCAAGATTCGATAAGAAAAATCCTCACAAACCCCCCAAGATAGAAATTAAATTGAAAAAAAATAGGAAACCAAATTTCAATTCAAAAATTTATGACATGCACAATTACATATGATGTTATAGGATTAAATGAAACGGAGAATGTCAAAAATTTGCTGTCATTGAAATAGCGTTACCATGCGTTGCGTATTAAATTGACTTCTTGGTCAAAATGTTCTTTGATGAACTTTGGAAAATATGGAAAAAACGGGCGAAAAATTCCATTTTTGAAAAACTTCAGCAGGATTAAAAATCCTTAATTTAGATATTTTTGCATTCAAAATTTTAAAATTTTAAAATTTTTTATTTTGAAGTTTTGGACAAAAAATATAAGCAAATACATTAGATAATTAACATTCGTCACTTATATTTTACTATATAAAAGAATATTCTTAACTTGTTTTCAAATTTTTAATTGCTCTTATTTTTAGACTAAGTGTAATTATAGTTAATAGGTTTAATTTTGTATTTTGTATTGTTTATTTTTAAATTTGAAAATAAATTAATTACTTACACTAAAAAAATATAAACTGACATAAAAAAAATTTAAGTCATTTAAACTAATATCATGAAATTCTAATGAGTTCAGAATTTCCGGTATACAATCTATATAGGCCAGATCTCGAACGCATGCGTGAATTATTTTAATGCTCATAACAAAATGGTTGTTTAGATGATTGGCTATTTCTTTCAGAAATAACAACACTCTTCTCGTTACCCAATACAAACTTTGTAATATCACGACACATATTCTTCTATTTTTTGAGACATATACTTGTTTTTTGCCATATTTACCTCGTGGTTGAATCAATTTCTCTCTATTCTATAGTCATCCGACTTGATCGTATATTTAATTTTAGATTTATTCATATATGTGAACTATATTTATAGAACTGAACTGCTCCCATTTGCTAGCTTTTATGATTTTACTTCCACTTCTTTATAGATAACGAGTACATTGATTCCAATCAGTGTTCCCGTTGGTAAATTTCAAAAGGTGAAAGAAAAGTGCAAAATTTTACTCGGCAATAAGCCGCGCTAAACAAAATACTAATAGTTTTTTTATTTTAACTGTTTCCAAGAAAAAATAATGTAATTATTTTCAGAAAAAACTTTTATTTTTAAAAAATTATTCAAAGATTATCACCCGTTTTCGAATTTTTTCTAATTTCGAAATTTTCGAATTTTCGTAAAACGGAAAGAGAATTTTTTCGTAAAACGCATGCTGAGACGCGATAGAATATCAAAAGCTTTCAATATAACTGTCAAGTTTGTTATGCTTGTTTTCAGTATAGAATGTCAAATTTTCTTTATTTTTTTTTGAAAATTTACTTTATTTATTTCAAAAATTTGACTTTGCCGTGAAAACTTAAAAACTTTTGAAGAACATTCTATTTTGTTAAAAACTCATAAGCCATAATATATAATATAATCGTGTAAACAATGCAGTATTAAAGCGAAATATAACGCGTCGCTTATGTTGATATATTTTTCTGAAAACTTATTTGAAGGAATTACAAAAATCAGTTTTGTAATATTTGTTGGGTAAATGTAATAGTATAAATTTTTTTTGAGATTGGAAAAAAAAGTGCAAAATTTAAAAAAAAAACGCAAAAAAAAAAGGGGTGCACAAAACCTTAAAAAGTGCAAATTTTTGCACAAAGGTGTCAAAACGGGAACGCTGATTTCAATGCTGTCACTGTCACATCAGATGAAGAAAAATCAATTATATACACATACAATACAATGTACTAAAATAAAAATATGTACGCGATTTTGATTGAAACAAGAGTATTTTCAATCTAATAAAAAATTATAATTTTACAAAAACTCTAATATCAAATTATTTGATAAAATTGTATTAAATAAATTTGAAATTATAAATATATTATATGTATAACATGCATGGGTCGTATATACATATAAACTTTTAATTTAAAACATAAAATTCTGTTTCTACTTTAATAACACTTTATGAAAGGATTTAAGAATTTAAAAAAAAAATTAAACAATTAAATGAAAAATTAATAAAGTAATGTTTTATTGCACCCGCAAAAGTGGCGTTTGTAAGTGATAATTTGAGTTTTGAGCGTTATTTCCTCCAAAAAATGCAGGTGAGTTGCAAATTAGAGTTTTACAGTACCTAGCCTAATTTTAAATTAGAATGGCTGTGCTTCACCAAGTTACTTAATTAACAACGCAATCAAAAATTAAATTAAGTAAATTATTTTTGATTTAAATTATTTAATTTTTGCGAAAAATATATGTGTTGGTTTTTTGGAAAGTGCTATAAATCCATTTTTTCAATCTCAATATATGTATATAGATATTTAAGGGTTTCCGTTTGAATCAATATGCGATAGTCTTGTACAGCAAAACTGTTTTTGTTTATTTTATGTCTAAATGGAACTCTATTGAAATTGCTATTGTATCTGCGGAGAGAAGGTGTCTATAGCTCATCAAAATTACAATTAACTTAGTCTTTTTATAAAGTGGACTTACTTATTCAACTTTTAATAAAACCTGCTCATATTACTTTTATGTATTTAACTTGAACAAAAATATAATTACGTTTTTTTTTTCAGCAAGTAGACGATCCCCCATCACTGCCAGTTGGTACGGAGGTTAGCGCAAAGTATAAGGGGGCATTTTGTGAAGCTAAAGTACGAAAAGTGGTTCGAAATATCAAAGTAAAAGTATTGTACAAGCAACCTGGATTGGGATCTGGCATTGTACCCGATGATGCAATCAAAACTGGAATTCTACGAGTAGGGGCAAGCGTTGAAGTAAAGCACCCTGAAAGAAGAGATTTAGTTGAAGCTACAATAACGAAAATTCAAGATGGATCCCAGTACACAGTTGTATTTGATGATGGTGACATAACAACTTTGAGACGTACTGCGTTGTGTTTGAAAAGTGGAAGGCATTTTAATGAAAGTGAAACTTTAGATCAGTTACCTTTGACACATCCAGAACATTTTAGTAATCCGGTTATTGGAGGAAGGCGTGGTCGTCGATCTAGACATTTGAATGACGATACCTCTGATGAAGAAGAAGAACCCGTAAAAAAAGGTAAACAAATTGTAAATGAAAAAGAGGAAAATATTGGTAGAGTCGTTTGTGTTGAAACAACTGATGCTAAAAAGAAAGATAAATATTTCCCTGGACTAGTCGTGGCACCTACGGCCCAAGCTACTGTAAAAATTAGGGTTAAAGACGAATATTTGGTTCGCTCTTTTAAAGATGGAAGATATTACACGGTACCTAAAAAAGAAGCGATAAATTTTACTCGTGAATTAGCTTCTAAAATGGATGGTCCAGCTGTCCAAGCAGCAATAAATTTCCTAGAAAATAATGAGCTGCCGCCACATTGGGATCGAGACTCGTTATTTGGTTTGTCTAATAGCTCAAGTGATTATGAAGGCGAAGTGGATTCTGATAGCTCTGATGATGAACCAACCGAAGAAAAAGACCATTTCGTAGCTCAATTATACAAATACATGGACGACAGAGGAACGCCACTAAACAAGGTACCTTCAATTCAAAATCGGGATGTCGATCTTTACCGATTGTTTAGAACAGTTCAGAAATTGGGTGGTTATAATCGAGTTACAAGTCAAAACCAATGGAAGTCCATCACAAACAGATTAGGATTTACACCAGTTACTGTTAGTGTAACAAATTTGGTAAAGCAAGCATATAAAAAATTTCTGCAGCCTTATGAAGAATTCCATCGTAAATTAGGTTGCTCAATGATAATGACATCGAGAGGTTCCGGACGCTCAAAAGGTCGGAGCCTTGTCAGGGCGAATTCCGTAGCATCTCCAAAACCTGATGCAAAAACTTTGGAAAAAACGGCGGCAGTTGCAGCAGCTGCTAATGCTTCAGCTCTTTCGGCCTCAGTTTCCACAAATGTTTCACAACCTTCAATATCCGAAGGAGAAACAAAAGCTAAAATTAAACCGGAACCGGAAGAATCAGAAAATACAAGTGAGTCCAGTGTTGAGGCTCCTGCAGCTAAGAATGTGAAAAGAAAAATTTCTACTGGAAGCAATACAAAAACAAAAAATTCAGAAAAATTTGAGGACAAAAAAAAAGAGGATGAACAAGAGCCTAAATCGCAAGATATAAAAAAGGAAGTCAAAAAGGAAAAGGAATTGTCTCCTCCTCCTATGGTATCAAAGGAACAAAATAGTGGTTCTTCAACATCGTCAACTTCCATTTCAGCAAACAAACCAAGAGAAAGGGGAAGACCTGGCAAAATTCATCATACGGACAAAATTAAAAATTTAAAAAAAAAGGAAAATGAAATTCCCCCTATTTGTGAAAAGACGATCGAAAAGGCTCGCGAAAGCGTAAACGTTTCTAACGATTTTCCTGTTGAAGTAGGAGATAAATTAAAAGTTTATTATCACGAGAAGCGTGTTACTTATGAAGCAAAAGTTATAGAAATATCTTTACAACAAGGTATCCCTTTGTATATGGTACACTACACGGGATGGAATAACAGATACGATGAATGGATTCCAAAAGAACGTATTGCAGAAAACCTAACCAATACCAAAGCTAAGAAATCCAAAATGTCCCAAGGCACACAACCTGGTATAAATTTTTATTTTATGATTGTTTGTTTTAGTAATTTTACAAATCTTTAGGTAAAAATATTCAAGAAAATTTAAACAAAGCTTCGACAGAGAAAGAAAAAGATAAAATGGGAGGCATTGTTTTGTCATCAACACCCTCTACACCAACGATTAAATCAATAAATTCATCTTCGAAGAGAGGAAGGGGTCGAAGTGATTCCCAACCGCCGAGATCAACAACACCTTCTTCTGTGGCATCGAACTCAAGTCGCACAAAGTCACCCGCTACCCCGGTTACCCAGAGGCGAAATACAAGAACTCAACCATGTTCTAATATCAGAAGGACTTCCAATAATGTATCTGATATATCTATACAAACAGACTCTGATTCGGATTCTGACACACCGGTGCTAAAAAAAAGCATAAAATCAATACATACAACAACATCTTCTGCGCCAACAGTTATTTCAGTAGCAGCTTCAGCTCCCAATTTAAAGGGGAGCACTTCAATTGTACCCAAAATTACAACTGGTGCTGCTTTAACTTCATCGGGTGCTTCGCCTGTAATTGAAATAAGTAATCAAGGGCACGTTTCTCCTTCAAAATTATCTAACCTAAAAGTTTCGGTTGAAGTAGATGATGAAAATGCAAAGGGAAGGGATTACGATTTAAATCAAATACGATCAGAACTTAAAGGCTTTAAAGAATTAAAGTCGCCCTCGCCTGATTGTGATGATAAAAAAATTGAATCCGATTTTGATATTACTGGTGATAAAATTGATAAACATGAGCATAAAAAGCACTCGGGGTCTCATAATATAACAATGAAACAACCTAAAATAGAGTCAAAGTCATCAACAGATTTTTCATCTGAATGCGATTCTTTTGGCGATGACGATTCTCAATCATCTGACAAAACAACTCAATTAGAAAATATGACTGAAAAATTACAGCAAAAAATCAAAGCCGAAAAACTAGCACAGGCAGCTGCCGCCAAAAACGCTGATAAATTTGGAATTTCTAAAAGTTTACCAAATGAAAAATTATCACCTTTATCATCGTCAGGAATTGAAAAAATTATCAAAGACAGTTTAGCTGAAAAAAGACAAGAAACTTTAAAGGCTTCAAAACCCTTCTTAATAGAAAAAACTATTTTTAAATCATCAAACGTTTCAGTTTTGCCAAACATTAACCAAGAAAAATCTGAAAAACATGGAGGTTTAAACCAACAAAAAGTCGGTTTGACATCGACTGTTATTTTGAAGACAGAAGCAAATTTAACTCGGCTTACATCATCACGCCAAATTTCCACTGAAAGAAAAATAACCCATCTCCCTTCGTCCGCAGACGTTAAAAAAAATCAGTCCACACTATCTGATAAACTCACCACAATAACAAGCACTGGACGACCTGAAAAAAAACCTATTTTAACAGCTAAGGCAAACGCTTCTATTGCAGCTGCAGCGGTTGCTGCTGCTCATGCTGCTGAAATTTCAATTAATCAAGCTACAAAAACTGATACTTTTGTAGCACCCAATGTGTCGCATAAATATGAATCAAAGCAAAATGCTGACGTTAAGGGATTATCGGCACAGTTTCAACATAAAGCTAATATTAGTGGCTCGGCGGCTCTATCTGATAAATTATCTGTCAGTTTAATAACTAAATCATGTTCTGTAAATAAAGAAATTCTGAAAAACTCTAACAACAAAAGTTTACAAACCATGCAAGGACTATCTACGTCATGTCAAGAAGTAACTACTTCTGATGTTTATGAATTTAAAGAACCCGAACCTTTCGAATTTGAAGCTAGGAAAACAAGCACAGCGACCCACACTCTATCTCAATCTTTAGAAATTGAAAAAAAGAAAAAGCCTATAACCAAGTCGTTTGATCAATTGGAATGTAGTAAGCCATTACTATTGGGGCCTAGTTCTTCAACGATTTTGGCACCGCAGGTAAAATACATATAAATTATTACATGATTTAAATTAATTTACCCATTCTGGGTAATTTTTAGGTTACAGTAACTACGACGCCTATGAAAAAGGCTAAAAAATCACCTATAAAAGATCCTGAAGCGAAAAGTTTGAAAAAGTCAAAACCAGAAGAAAAAGTTTCACAAGATATACAGTTGCCCCCAATATCAATTCTTTCAATTCAATCAAATATAACTCCAATGTCAACAGCACCTTCTCCAACATCAGTGTCTTCGATTCAATTCTCTAATTCCAATCTTTCAATTAAGGGAGACTCTACTTTTGATGTTCTAAGAAAATCACCAAGCTTCAATCTAAATATTAACGCTTTGAATGAGGAACTTGCCACGGCCATTCAAGAAACTACAAAGGTCTTAACGGATGTAACAGTACCAATCACGCCGATTCCAATGACTTCTGTAAACACTATTCCATTGTCAACAATACAGAAACCAACTTTCGTCAATACGTTCGTTGAAGCAACAAAATCAACATCATCAGCCAAAACAACGATTTGCTCCAGCAAAAATAACACTCAAATTTCCACAAAATTATTACCAACTTCAGTACCGATGTTCTGTAGTTCTAATAAGCCTGTTAACGTTTTATCAATAAAAACGACCCCAGTAGCAATTTCAAAACCAATATCACCTCAAACTCATAAAGTTTTACCATCTGTATTGTCCAAAACACAAGGCAGTGCAGCTAAGACTTCTTTAACAACCTCAACCTCATCTTCTGTATTGGTAACGAAATCAGTTGTTAATTCAGCATTCAAACTAGCACCGAATTCTGCCGTACCTTCTACGCCATCTCCGGATTTACTTAATGTATTTGAGGTAAAGCAGGATAATGATAATAGCAGTAAAAGTGAAAGCGATGACGATCACGATAAAAGTAAAAAGGGAAATGAATTGGAAACTGTTAAAAAAATGCTTTCTGACCCCGGAATATTAGAACCACCAAAAATTGAGAAGTCTTCAATAGCTGATAAAGTTCTGAAAGCTCTTAACCAAAAAAAGGAAGAAGAAGAAAAAACGAAAGAAAACCTGCCAGCAAAATTAACGCCATTTATTCCTGAAACCAAATCATCTATTAGTAGTTTAACAAAACCTGTTTTGTCGAAAATTGAGCCAATAATTAATAAATCGCCACAACCATCACTAAAATCAACATCGGCCTTTAGTAGTGTATCACCAGCAAGTGGAATTATAAACACTTCCAACAGGATATTTAGTAGCTCACCAATACTGAATGAACCACCTAAAATAGAAATGCCGGTCATAATTAAAAAAGATTTTGAGAATGCATTAAAAAAGCCTGTCTTAAATAGTCCTGAGCATAAGTTAAATATATTGGAATCCATAGCTCCTAAAAATAATGATTTAACTGAGACAATCCAAAAACTTGAAAGTGCCATTAAAACTACATCAAACGTAGATCATTTTGATCCAGATTCATCAGACAGTACGGATTCTGAACGCAGACTTGTCATTGAAGACGAAGAAAGTTCTGATAATTTAGCAAACGATACACTAAGTGCTCCAGAATATTCTCCACTTAAAAAGCAGGAAATCGTAAATTCTTCTCCGATGAAAACTTTAACTCAAGCTACTATGCTTTTGCCACAAACATCTATTGTATTAACAACAAAATGCAATACAGAAAAGGTCACAGCAACATTAACTGAAGCTTCTATAAATACACAAGATTTTTCAGCAAAAAAATCGCAAACTCCGGAGCAGTCTATATTTACTTTGACTTCTTCAAATACTACCACCGTTACTGCAATAGGGCCCCGTGGGAATACTACAAGTGTGTTTGGACTGCAAGGTTCTCTATTCGCAAATCCCTCACTTTTATCAGACACAGGTGTTAAACCTATATGCGATTTGCCTCCAAATTTTAAACAGGAATTTCCGCCATCTCTCTCAGTTACAGCGGTTAAACGAAGTGACTTAATGTCACCGCCAGATTTATCTATAACGCCTTTAAAAAAGGAAGACACATTAAATGCAAATCAAGAAGCGCAAAGTCTTACTAGCGATTCAATCAATTTACTTCTTTGTGAGGAAACAATTCCTGGTAGTCCCACTCCAATTCCAATTAAAGAAATTGTTACGGACCAAAATATTAAACTGTCTTCAATTCATCCAACTGAATCTGATATTAAACCCATACCAATGGATATCGAAATCAATTCAAATGTTCAGTCGCCAAATTCGAATTTAATTTGCAGTAATATTAAAAATACCAATAGTCAAGTTGGAAATAATATTCGACAGCATACGAACCCATCAACGACAAATGCAGATCGGATAGAGTGTGCTAGAGGAAACGGGTCAAACAAAAATTTAACGAAAGTTGAACAACAAACCCCAAGCAGCTCACCACGCGATTCTCAAAGCCAAGATGAAAGTAGTGAAGATTTGAAAAAACAAGTTGGCCCAGATATAGACGATATATCACCCAAAAAACGACGACGTACCAGAACCCATTCAGAAGCACAAAGTCACCACGGCAAACGAAGAAGAAGTAATAGAGTAGAGGCAAAGAAGCAAAATCCTGGTAAGAATATTTATTGTCGTTTATCTGATTTTTATTACTCGTAATAAACTTTTTTGCTTTTTAACTTTCTTATATATGTATGTATATGAGTGTATTACATTCCTCATTTGTTGTAGGTTCCGATAGTGACGAAAATTCAGATACAAATGCAACGCAAAGATCAAATTCCAATAGGCCGATTAGACCATGTCCATATAATTTTTTGGTGCAACTAGGTATATTTGTAAACATTTTTTAATGAAATTGCAAGAAAGAAATAGTATTTCAAAACTTTTACTGATTTATTAAAAACAATTTTATTTTAGATCCTAATCTAAACCCAAATCAGCGTATTGCGATTCTTCGTAAAAAAATTGCAGATTTGCGTAAAACATACAACATGATAAAAGCAGAATTGGCTAGCATTGACAGACGAAGGAAAAAGCTACGTAGGCGTGAAAGAGAGAAAAAAATTCAACAAAAACAACAACATTCGCAGCAGATTCAATCACAGCAGCAATACAGTGTTTAAGAAATACGCGTCTTAAAGAACAGTCGAAGCTTGTCGTTTAATAATTTTTATAATAGATATTATAAGAAAATTCTAGTGAATTTTGAAAATATCACTAAAATTAATTGTTTACGATGTATTTTATTCACTTGTTTGCAGAAATAGAAAAAGAATTATCATTTAGCAGTAAAATTTGTTAAAATGTTATTTTACAAAATTATTATGACGGGAGGAAATTTTATATCTTAATGTACTAAAAAACTTAATGTGAATTTAAAGAAAATCTAAAAATAAAATCACTCTGTAAGTCCATTTTGCTCAATTTGAGGAACTCAACATTTAATGTTTTTGTATTGTACATGGCAATACGGCATTTTGTTTTTTTTTGTCAAATTAGTAAAGTTTCGTATTTAGTTTTTAAATAGTAAAAAACACAGTTTAGTGAAAAACAAACAAAAAAAGTCGTTTTTGTAAAGATCTGTAGTTGCTGAGCTATGCGGTAAATGAAGACGGATAAATTTTAACAAATATGTACAGCGAATGCAGTTTCTATTACAACTAGCTTATACCAAAAGTTCCTAGTACGTTCATGTCTAAATGTTCTAGTTTTGAATACAGTAAGAGGCAGTATTCATTTAATAAAATATCTTTATTACTTTCTTCTAATAAATTCGGATATCGGCTTAGAAAAAAAGTGTACAATGTCAAGAGCTTTTACTAAACTTTTTGTAACGGTATACTTTGAAAAGTTTACGTTGTAAGCGCATTATTGAAGTAACGGACATTGTACACTTCCTAAATGCGTTCTATACGTAGTTGATAGTCGTAATCGGGTACCTTGTCATATAAATGTTGCTAGAAGTGTACCCGCAAATTTTTTAACGTCAAAATTTTGTTTTCTGTCTTCAAACTGTCTAACCCAGCATTTACACGTACAAGTTACTTGCAAGAAAGTTGCAATACATACAAAAATTTTACTAACACATTGAAATATTTCTACTTGCTTGTTTACTTGCAGTTCAACTTGCAAGAAAATTTTGCTGCCAGTAATTTGAGCAAGTAATTTGACATATTGAGAAATTCACAAAAAAAAATTTGTTGTTTTGATTTTTTTTTTTTTTTAATTTAAAATTTTTGAATTTTGTTTTGAAAAAATTAAACTTAGCAAACTTATGGTTTCTAAAATTTATAAACAATTATATATATTGCTAGTTGTTTTCTTCTCAAAGACATTTTCAAAAATTAACTTGCTAAACGCCTACGTCATAATAGCAAGTAATTTGACATTTCGAACAACTAATTGACAATTAATATTATACAAACTTGCATGCAAGTAACTTGTATGTGTAAATGCTGGGTAACGTATAAAACTTTTACGGACAGAAATGTAGTAAACTTTTTACCCGTAATAGACTTTGAATTTTGATCATCCGTAAACGTCAAAACAAAAAAAATTTTTTTTTTAGATTTAAATTAATTTTACATTTACATATTAAATATTAACAAAAAAAATATTTTTTATATTATTTTTAACGTAGTGATAGTCACTCAATACATCAAATTTATTTACTGAATTACTACGTCAGACTGCCTGCATGAAAAAAAAAATCAACGATTTTGACGCTTAATTGACTTTTTCTAAACGTTTAAGAATTTAAGCTCTGACTGAAAGTAAAAATATTCGTAAACTCAGTAGAGTATTCGTAAACTCAGACAATTCAGATTTTGTAAAATTTGACGTTTGAGAACTTACCATACTAGTTATCAAGTTTCTTTTCCTAAAATTCAGCATAAAAATGTAATGTTTTTAATGATGTGGTAACGTTTTATAAAAACGTCAAAGTGGTACTTATATGGTAAAAATTGTATTCCAAAATGTACCAAAAGCTTTAGTAGTTTTTTTTACAATATAAAGCTATTGAAGGCTCTGAGACGGTACTACAACCGTATTTATACCGTACTTTGATCTTTTTTAAAGCATTATAGAAGTCACGGACACTTTATCGCTAAAAATATGTGCTAGTTTATTTAATTGGATATTCTTGGCATGTATAAGAAGCGTGCTCGATTTTTTCGATATCCAATTTACTTTTTTTTTACGCATGCACTAAAAATGCACTAAACTTTTTGGAATGTGATATTACGCAATATTGAAGTCACGGATACTGTTTTTTTTTCTGTCGAAATATTTTACATTGGATTTGATCTCTTTATATATGGGTCTTTGGTAAATTCCTTTTTTTTATTTTTTAAAATTAAAAGTCTATCAATTAATTTAAATTTCTTTATATAATAAACAAAGAAATGAAGAAAATGTCAAATAATCAGAATCCATAATTAATTTTTCTGAATAATGCTATTAATATTCGAAAGCGCTACCAATCGGGATGTCTACAAAGCTGGATTCATTGATTCGTCGTTTTTTAGTTGAGCTATGTGTAGTTGAACTATTTTTTCTCTTGATTGTACATTGGTTTGTCTGAAAAAAGCTGACCATTTTTTTATTATGATGCATTTATTACTTTTTGACAAAAATTATATGTACTCGTAATAGTAATAGTTCAGTATACACAAATTTGACGTTCTAAAAAAACTTCGCACTAAAGTTGAAGGTGATTCAACTTTTTGAGAGACAGAAAAAATGCTGCTCTGAAAATAAAGAGAATGTCAAAAATTCAAATTTTCATACAAAATACATCAGCTAAGCGACGAACCAGTGAATCCAGCTTAATTGAATCGAATTTTCAGTGTCAATTATTGTTCTCGTTACACTACAAAACTCAAAAAATACTTTGTTTTTCGTGCATATGAGACTCTTATTATTATTAATCTCTTTTTTAAAGTTTCGCAGATTTGATATTTTGTAAATTTTGCTAGGTTAAGCAATGTAAAAATCAGTAAGAACGCAATAAAATTACTTTTTATAAAAGTTTATATTATATATGTATATACTTTAAAAAAAAAATCAATAAAAGCAAAATAATAATAAGAGGAATAAAAATTGGGAATATCACAACAACTTATTTATTAAGTTTTTTTATACATAAAATTATAAAATAGTCATCTGAATTTTTTATGTTATAAGAAATTTTAATATTGTTTTTTTTTATCTTTTTATTCTTATTTTACATATTTAATAACAAGTTGCAAATATAATACATAGTATAATTTTTAATTTTATAACACTTGATACTGCATAAAGTACATATGCATGTAGGTATGTATCTATAATTTTCAAAAAATATATGTATACATGTATCTACACATAATTATTTTTTAAAATTTAAATATGTATGCACATTTTGTGAACTAAATTAAAAACGCAAAAAACGTATAATAATATACACGGATGCGTAGGTATGTATGTAACTTAAATATGTATTCTTTTAAAGTTAGAAGAAAAAATCAATAAAATAACAGTTAGTTTATATACAATTTAAGATTTTAATTAAATTTTTTAATAATAATCAAAATTGAATAATGTAGGTACATTAAATTTTGCTATCGAAACAAGATACATATACATATATACATATGTTCCAAAATTTCTAAAATGAAAAAAATTAACTCAGTTACAAAAATATTGTATTATTTCATAAGGTTAAAAATAATTTCTAAAATTTCAAAAAAAAAAAAACAATTTAAATGATTTATTTTAAGGTTCATTGGTTTTAGGTTATAAGAATATTAGATTTGAATTTTGAATCCTTCGTATAAATTGAGTAAAACCTAAATTTTTTTCACTATTGTTAAGTAAAATTAATATTAGAAGCTTATGTTGTTTTACCAACATTTGCACAATAAAAAAGTATATATGTATGTATGTATAAAAAATAAAATAAGAGAAATTATCAACTAATAATAGTTTTAACATGGGATTAAAATTTGCATTTGTTTAAAAATTTTAGAAAAATATGACAAAAAATCAATTTAAATTGTCATTTAATAAACATTATGGCAAAAAGTTCTTCTCACAAACAAGTCGTTGAAATGCAACATAAACTTTTCTGTATGAATAGTATGATATACAAATGTACAGATAAAATTTTATAATCTGCATTATTCTTAATTAAAAAAAACTATTTACTTTAAATTAATACTTAGTAAACCACGATTAACAATAGTGTCAATTATGAATGCCTACGGTGTTGACTTTAGTTTACTTTGAAAGCCTACTGGATTTTTCTAATTCGTATCAAGTAAGAAAGAAGCCGCAAAAAAGAAGAAAATATTAAACGAAATATTTATTTAAAAAGAAACAATCTAGTTAGTTAATTAATATTCTAATTTTTTAGAAAACTGTAAGCAAAACAATGTAATTTTTTTAAAAAAAATTTATCAATAACAACCAAAACTAAATTTCATAACAAAAATTCATCGAAAAATAATAAATAATTTTAAAATTTTTAATTTTTGTATTTTTAAAAAGCGGATTTCAATGCTATATTCAAAAAATTTCAATTCTTTTAAAATTAATTCTATTCCACCGATTAGACTTTCATATTTTTTACCTAAAGTTCTTTTGTAGCCACAACTCATTTTTTTCCAATTATAAAAAAATATTTTTTAATATTCCTCGTATGTATATGCAGATAATTGTTAAAATAAATTTATAACTATTCGTAAAACAAGAAAAAAATTATTTTTAATTTTTTTATAAGAAATATGTAATTATTTTTTTTCTGTTTCTGTTTCAAGCCACGTTAATTTTTATAAATTATTGGTTATGTACAATGTATGTACATACACAAAAAACGGGAAGAAAATAGTAGTAATTATAAGCTAACCAATTTAGATGGTTCACTAGTTGGTGTTGTCATTGTTAATTCCAATGGATGTCTACTATTAGCATTGGGCATTAATGGTCCGGAAACTGGCGTTAACCCTGTACGACCATCCATTAAACTTTCAAAATTAAATACACCATTTGATGGAGTTGTAATTGTTACACCACAATCTGAAACGATTTTGTTTAGATGAGCTTGAGACGGAGGAATAGTTAATGGCACATTTAATGAATTTGGACGAGGTTTTGTCGTAACCATAGTTGCTGAACTTGTATTTGGTGTTGCTATCGATGGTTGTGTTGTCATTATTATATTACTATTTGACATTGATTTTATAGTTACACCGCTGTTAACATCAGAATTTGAAGCTGTTACTATTGCACCTAAAGCATTTTGTTGAACTACAGTTGTTGAATTTTGAGGTGGTGGCGATTTTGTTAATATTGGCGTATTGAGCATAGTGGGTGTAACAACATTTGTAATAGTAGAAACATTTGGTAATGATTGCGGTATTAATGGATTTGCTAATAAGATACGTTTTGGTGATGGTGGACCATCCAATGAATCAAATGAATCTATTGGTTCATCCTTAATTATTTTTGAATTATATTCATCTATTATAATAGGTTTTATATCAATTGGCGATGAGCGTAAGGTTGCTAAACCGCTTATTAAACTACTTGTATCACTATGATGTTTCTTGCAATGAGCACGATGTGCTTGTAAAATAAATTTTAGTTCATCTTGCTGCATAGTACACGATTCTATTTCCTTCTGCAATTCTTCTTTTTCTTTTTCTAATTTTTCAACTTTTTCTAATAAATCATTGGTTTGATCTACACGGCGTTTACGGCAACGAGCCGCTGCAGCTTTGTTACGCTCACGACGAATTCTACGTTTTTCTTCCTCCTCTGGTGTAAGATTACTTGGTTTAGTAGGGCGGCGTCCACCAGTGTTGCGACGATTTTGTGGTGAAGTTTGTTGGTGACCAGCACCACTACCGTTGTTTATACCGGACAAACCTGGGCTGCCATGTAAGGATGTTGGAAGGCTTGCTAAAATAAATCATGAAATTTTTTAGTCATTTCAAAATTTTGGACATTAAATAATAAAATGTGTACATATACATACATATGTACATAAATTATAATTAAATTTCACATACATAAATGCATATCATATGTTTACATATGTTATTTCGAAAATTTATTATTATAATTTGATAATCTTCCAAAACTATGTACCTATTTGAAAATAAGAGTAAGTAACGTTCCCAAAAAACAAAGAATTTCATTTATATGTATCAATAGATTTTGACAAATGATGAAGTCATCCTTTAAAAAAAGTAAAACCAAATGAAAAAGGAAAAAAATGAGACTGAGAAATTTGGGAATAAACTAATATCATGTTACTCGTTCTAATATTAATAGGTATAACAAAAAAAATGTCATCTAAAAACGTGTTTCCGCAATGTGTATCCGTTTTAAGGCTTATTTAAATTTTTGTAATTTAATGAACATTCTCATAGTGAGAAGCAAAAATTTTTACTTTTAAAAATGCAAATAATTAAACAAAAAAAATTAACATCTTAAATTTTTTTTTATAAATATTTAAAATTCTAAATTATTGTTTCAAAATAAGAAATAATCTTTTTGCCAATTCGAACTTGGTTATATGGAAGGCACATTCATATTTTTTATTTAAGTAACTTGTAATACTTACAATTATCAGTCGCTATAGAATTTTCTTCGTGAGTTATTGGCGTGTGCCAACTGCTTTGGGAACCAGATTCTGATGAACCATCAATAAAACTATTATTGTCATTACTTGTGTTATCAATTAGTGCATTAAATGGCGCTGGCGGTGGAACAAATCCAGCTTGATACGGAGCTTGTGTACCAGTATCACTTGTTAATTCAAATAAACTTTGTTCGATATTTCTTAAAGTGGTGGGAGTTAATGTTGATGTAGTTCGCGTAGGAACTCCACCTTGGTTGCCATCCAAAGAAACAAACTAAAAGTATAAAAAAAAACAAATGGAAAATTTTTTGAAAAAAAAAAAAAAAAAATTTTCCTGATGAAATAATGAATATACATATACATATATTAATTTATATGAAATAGACATACTTATATATAATATTTATTTATGTGGGTGTGTACATATAGAAGCTCTCCTACAATATGCCATTGACATAGGCCAGATTTTTGTTATAGTAAGGAAAAAATTAGTTCCACATTAGTGTCTCAATGGCACTGGAACGTTGTTAGTCGAGAGTAAAGAGGAAAAAAGAGGAGTAGTGCAACCTAAAAAAAATTTAAATAATATACATAGTTCAGACCCTGTCTTAGTGCTAGACGATAGTAATCAAATATTATATTAAACAAAGGTCTGCTCCTGGTTGTTGTACCACACTTACGATGCAAGAAAATATTTTTAACAACATTACCATCAGTCAAGCGAAGAATATGGTCCTTCCACCTAATTCTTTGGGATTAAACGTACGATATTCCGTGACTTCAATAATGCTTTAAAAAAGATTTAAGTATTGTATTAATACGATTGTAGTACCGTCTCAGAACTTTCAATACCTTTACAATGGAATTTTACCATATCAATACAACTTTGACGCTTATTTGAATTTAAAGTTCTGTGCAAATGTTCATTTTTATAAAACGTTACAACATAGCATTTTTATGCTGCATTTTAGGAACAAAAACTTTATAACTAGAACTTTATCGCTGAAAATATATGCTAGTTTATTTAATTAGCTATTTCTGGCAACATTTATATGAAATGTATACAAAATGTGTGCTCGATTTTTTCGATACCCGATTTATTTTAATTTTCCGTCTCCACTACGTATAGAACGCATTTAGGAAAAGTGTACAATGTCAAGAGCTTTTACTAAACTTTTTGGAATTTGATACTTTGTAAAATTTACGTCGTAAGCGCATTATTGAAGTCCTGGATTTTTATACTTTAATATTACTGTCCATTTCATGATTTAACTGCCATCTTCAAGTTGGAGTGGTTCATATATTCTTCTCAATGTTTTTCTTTCGAATATATTGAAGTTTGCAATATGACATTTTCAATCTTCAGGTTCGTAGATCTTGATAATAGTTTCAATCGCATAATTTTATTGTGAACAAAAAAACATTTATTCACCGCACTAGCTTTTTTTAATGTCAATTGAATAGCCTTCTATAACTAATCAAAGAATCATCCCTTAAAGCAATTTGCCACCTTATGTGAAACGTATTGTAGAAAATATTGATCAATTGTAGATTTGTTTTTTCGAAATCTGTATTGGTATAATATATAGATTATAATAATAATGGATTATAATAATAAATATCATAGTTACCTATGATATTTATTATTATAATCTATGTAATTTGATTTTTATCGAATTAATTATAATATTTTAATAAATAATTAAATCATTATAATATTTTATTTTTCATAATGTTTTATATTTATCATAATGTAATTCGATTTTCCTGTATTTTGAAGTTTAAAATTTCTCGCTGCTAAAACTTTTTATTGGAAATTCTGAAAATTCAGTCGTTACGAACTCCAAATTAACAAATATCATGTCATTTTTTTACTTTGAAATTGCCTCGTATGGTTAAAATACTTATAATTACATTGTATTTTTTATAAAATTCCAAATTGTGGTTGGTTGGTTGATTAACGTGGCAGTAGCAGAAGGTTATGATGTGCACCCCAATTAGCAGAAATGTGCAATTTTACTACCACTATCCCGCGATCGCCATTCCGTGGTTGAGCATACAAGTGGCCTATCTAAGTTAGCTGGTTCTTTTGAGCAATCTATCTAAATCCCCAATGCTAATTTTCTATATCTCTTCCAGCCCCGTCACGCATGTTTTGACCCATGCGACCAGTTTGGCTCCGACTAGAACCGGGCACTCGCAGAGATAGTGAAAATTGGTGTTATTCTTGTTTAATTCCCGGCAACTGCGACACGACGTGTTGAAGGGCAATCTCAGCCTGGTTACATGCTCCTCAATGGCCAGTGTCTCGTGTAGGCTATCGAAAAAAGGTATGTCTCTCCGATACATCAGAAGCCCATATGATGTCCTAAGGTCGTGTTTTGGCTCAATTTCATTGCCGGCACACGATGAATAGTCTCTGCATATATATTTATTTTCAGTATATTGATGTCTATGGCTTAGCTACATCAGCCCATCCGTCCGTTTATATTATGGTGGTCTGGGACCCAAGGAAGTGTGACAGTATGGCGAGCGCACATCCCTGCCAGCTCACGACAACATTTGTTCACCAACTTCGAAGATATTGCAACAACACTAACTACAAAAGGGAGACCCTCCAAGATCTCGCATGCTTTCAATATGAAAGCTGATACGATTCAGACGCCCAAGGGGAAAACTCCAGCATCTACCATATTCCTATTCTTGGAGCCGTCTGTGAATAGAACCAACTCAAAACCTCTTAAAGGAGCCATTGCTCTATAGGAATGGCCAGGAAAGGGAAGCTCAACACAAAAATTCTTGTCGAAGCTAAATCTTAGGATACAATAAAAATAAATTTCCGTGATCATATCGGTCCTTCTCGCAGGAAGCGACCCAAGAATACTTTCGTGACCATAGGGGCAGGGTTCCAACCAGCTTTTCTGAGCCTGAGCAGCTCAGCTGACCGCCAGGTTAACGATATGCAACACTTATTATATAATAGGAGTGAGTAGTACACACTAACATTGTGATTTTTTTATATTTTTTCAAGTGACAAACTATACACAAAGTTTGAACAGTAGAAATCATTAAAAAAAGGTTAAGTAGTACTTTCGGATAAACCGAATAATTAAAAGTATTTAGTGTTCTAAATATTAATTTTTGTTGACACCAAAATTAGGAATTCCTCAAAGGATAAGGTCTTTAAGAGGTGGATAAGCTCTTAAATTAAACACCATAATACTTATGAAAAATATAACAACATGTATGTATGAAGTGAGCCTTCCAAGTAATCATAGGGTAGTGCTTAACCACTTCATTTGAGAAATGAGCAATTAGATCGTGCGAATATTATTTTGCACTGTCATGAGGTGAAACAGAAAATAGAAGTTTTCCTATGTATTATTATACAATTGTATGAATGTCATAAGTACATGGTGTTTAACTGAAAAGTTTAGATCTCATTGTGGAGACTCTAATCACTTGAGAAATGTATGCAATCATTTTAAAAATTTATGTATATACTTATAGTTTTAATATATATAAACGAAAAATATATAAAAATATTTTAATCCATGTTTAACCTGCTGCATAAACAGTTCTTTAGCTAAAAAATTTGCAATCTCGCAGGCATCCATGTCGTTTTTTTACACCTTTCAAATTAATAACTTGAGTTTATTTAAAACAAAAAAAATAACGTTAATTTTTTAATTTTAAATATTAAAACTAAATTGAATTTTAACTTATTTTAAATTTTTTCAGCGCTCTTTATAATTATTTTCACGAAAAACAAAAAAAAACACAAAATCTGATTCAGAAAAAAATTGTATTTCAGTTATGCTAAAAAATCACATATGTATGTTAATTTTTTTATTGTTCAATCTTAATTTTTTTTTTAATTTGTGATTAATTTTCTCTTATTTTATTTAAAATTGACAATAAATTGCACAATTTTTTATATATGTAAATTAATGAATTTCATCAAAATTTCCTAAATAAAATTATTAAATAGTTACTTAGTTATTTTTTTAATTTATAATAGTCTATCACATAGTACAAAGAAAATTCTATTACATTTATGTAAAATAATAAACTTTTTAATATTCTTAAAATACTTTTTAAAATGTGTATGTTAAATATATTGTTTGTTGTATTTAAAAAAAAAATTGAAGGAGTTTGATTTAAATATAATTAGACTTTTATGCTTAAAAAAAGTATTTGTTTTACGACACTATTATACAACAACATAATGCACATGTATTAGATTAACTATACATACATTTTCATATATATAAAGTTATAATGATAATTACGCGATACTTAAATTTCAAACAAGAAAATATACATATGCATGTACTTATAATCAGAGTTTTATTTTTATCTTTTTTAATATTTTCTATTAATGAACGTTTCTATATAACACAATCATACATATGCATGTTTATATAAGCATATATGTACATAAATATGCATACAATATAATATTAAATTCATAATATTTGCGGAAAAATTAAAAAAAAACAAGCTGTTTGAAAACAAACAATTTTTAATAAATCGCGGGTGGAATTTAATTTAATATTTTTCACCAAAAAAAAACAAGTTATTTTAGTACATATATATTTGCAAATGTATATAGAGTTCACAGGTATGTATATGGTAATTATGTCTATGTATGTTTATTGTTTCCACTATTATTTTTTTATAGTTTTTCTTTTCTTAGAATATATTTTTTCTTTTTTCGATATTCTCAATTTTTTTTAATATTTTAAATCACTAGTGTATTTTTTATATTAATACACATTATTACAAATACCTAATGATACGGGATCTATATTTATATAGATTTACTCATTAAAAATATGCCTTTAAATTTTATTTTTTTGCGTCTAATTTCAAATTACTTTTTATTTTTATAATTGTGTTTAGAAAAATAAATTGTTAAAGAATATTTATTTTAACTGAATACATATACATATATATTTATAATAACGTTGAAATTAGTTTTTACATTATATGTTTGCCTTTGAATTTTTCTAGGTAGCGATAATGTTTATGTTTTTTACTAAAAGTTATCGTTGTAGGTTTAATTTTTACTTTTTAGATTTATTATTATTTTATATTCAAATTACTTGTACGATTGTTTTAAACTGAAATTTCTTTAACCTATATAAACTCAATTTCTTAACACCTTTAGGATTAACTTTTATAAGATTAATTTTAATTGTATTCAATCGGTCTTAATTATTAACTTTTGTTAATATTAAAAATTAAATTGATTTTGAATTTTATTACTTG